GTGGAAGCTCTGCATCTCTCCATCCATTCTAAATGAAAGCCTTGCCGGATAAAGTATTCTTGGCTGCATGTTCTTCTCATTTAGTACTCTGAATATGTCTTGTCAGGCCTTTCTGGCTTGCCAGGTCTCTGTGGATAGGTCTGATGTTATTCTGATGTTCCTCCCTCTGTAAGGAATCTCTTCCCCCTAACTGCCCTTAAGATGGTTTCCTTGGTTCTAAGATTTGCAAGTTTTACTATTACATGCCGGGGTATTGGCCTGTTTTCCTTGATCTCAGGAGGGGTCCTCTCTGCTTCTAGGACTCGAATGTTTGTTTCATTCCCCAGATTAGGGAAGTTCTCAGCTACGATTTGCTCAAATACATCATCTAGCCCTCTCTCTCTCCACTCCCTCCGGGATTCCAATTATTCTGACATTGGAACGCCTCATGGTGTCACTTATTTCTCTGATTCTGTTTTCATGGACTCTGAGTTGTTTTTCCCTGGCCTCCTCTTTTCCCTTTTTATCTATTACATTGTCTTCCAGGTCGCTTATTTTCTCTTCTGTCTCAGTTACCCTAGCTGTTAGATTATCTAGATTGGATTGGATCTCATTGATAGCATTTTTAAGTTCTGCCAATTCCCCTTTTATTTCTGCCCTTAGAGACTCTATGTTGCCATTGATTTCTCCATTTTAGCCATTGTCTTCACAATTGCTAGCCTGAATTCCATCTCTGACATCTTGGTTATGTCTGCATCCATTTGTAAATCTGCAGCATAAGTCATAATCTCTGAGTCTTCTCTATTTTGGGGGCTCCTCCTCCTAGTCATTCTGTTGATGGGTGGTTGAGGGAATGTTTAGAGTCCAAATTATTGACCAGAACCCAAGCAAGATGCACCTGTTTTCTTGGGACCTTAGGGTTGCTGGCCTCTTGTTTTCCCAGCCTGTCTTCTGCAGGAGGGGCCTGCTGCACTGTTACTCAGGCAACCCTGTTTGGGCAGAGTTGCCCTGCGCCCCTGTGGCAGGGGATGGGCTCAGTGGGAATCAGTCTTTGGGGCTTTTGTTCTCTGGCGCCTTTCCCTGGCGGCTTTCTGTGTCTCTTCCGCGAGTCAGAGCAGAAGAGACCGTTTCCAACCCTCTGCCTCAGAGCAGAAAGACCTCAGTCTGTTCTTCAGTGAGCTCTCCAGGCCACACTGTCTCCATTTCTGTCCGTGCTGCTATAAACTGCAGCATCCTGGGTTGTGCGCCCCTCCGCAGCGCCCCCAGTCCTGCCTCCAGGTCAGAGCGCATCTCTGCCCTTTGTGCTTCTAAAACCGCCAGCCGCTCCCAGTTCGCGTGCATGTGACTCAGCCGCTCAGGGTTTCCACCCCCGGGGGTTGCAGTTCACCGGCACGACCCCGGCGCACCGGGTTTCCGACCTGGAGGCTGCAGTTTGCGTGCGCGCGACCGTCGCTCCGGTTTCTGTTCAGGGGGGCTGCAGTTCGCGTGCGCGCGACCCCGCCGATCTGGTTTTCCACCCTGGGGGCTGCCCTAAAGTCCTTTCCCAACGCTACCGGTCTTTGAGTCTGTGGCCGCTTCAAGTCGCGCGCTGCGGCTGTCACTCACCGGCGGTGTAGGATCCCCACGGCCAGGCACCCTCCCGCCGCCGTTTATCCTCTGATATCTGCCCTCAGAATCATGGCTCTCCGCTTCGTACCTCAAAACCAACTGCCTGCGATATTCTGTTTGTAGAGATCCAGATCTTCTTACATCTCAGGCTGGTTTCGTGGGTGCTCAGAGTGGTCTGGTAGTTATCCAGCTCAATTCCGGGGACCAGTTGAAATAGGGTCCCCTACTCCTACGCCATCTTTCCCCCTCCCATTTCTACATTTCTAAATACATCTTTTTTTTTTTTTTTTTTAATTTTATTCATTCATTTGAGAGAAACAGAGCATGAGCGGACGGGGGCAGGGGGAAGGAAGCAGAAGGGGAGGGGAAGGGACACGCAGACTCTGCACTGAGAGCAGAGCCCAACACAAGGCTTGATCCCAAGACCCCAAGACTGAGTCTGATGCTTAACCGACTGAGCTACGCAGGCGCCTCTCTAAATACACCTGCTAATGGCTTATCAGGCGGTCCTTTGGAGCACGGTTTATTTGTGACTTAAAGTTCAGGTCCTGCGCCCCAAGTCTGTCACATTTATCATCTTTAGCCCAAGATACTAAAAATCCTACCCCTTGATTTTGGCTCTGGGATATGTTTTAAAGATTTTCAAAAGCACACAGGCTCAGTAGGCATGTCTGGTTTATAACGCAGCAGGCCTCCTTGTGTTAGATGTGTCAGATACTGTCGTCAGCTGTGTCTGCCAAGTCGGGATATGTGCTTTCCTCCTAGCAAGCAGCCACGAAGGAGGCCCATAAAGAAATCAGATGACATACCTGGCGGTGGCTGAAAGCAGAATGAAACCAGCTGAGCAGAATATTGCATGGAAAGTGGGACTGAGAATGGTATCTGACCTGCCAGGAGAGTGCAGGGCAGGAGGGCAGGCCATGGTGTTCCCAACTGCTGCAACCAAATATGCCATCAAAAAAATTCAGACCCCAGAAACTAACCCAGCAAGGCAGTGTCTTTGCTCACTCATTCTTTAAAAGTCCTGTAACCAACCAGTCCTATGCCTCAAGCCCCCATCTCACCAATACATATGTGATTTCACAGGTCAGATATTCTGAAATGACTTCCCCAACTATGATTGCCTCATTATACATAATCACCTATTTATAACATTCATCAAGAAATGTGTTCTGTCAGGGCGCCTGGGTGGCTCAGTCAGTTAAGCGTCTGCCTTCGGCTCAGGTCATGATCCCAGGGTCCTGGGATTAAGCCCCGCATTGGGCTCCCTGCTGAGTGGGGAGCCTGCTTCTCCCTCTCCCTCTGCCTGCCGCTCCCCTTGCTTATGCTCTCACTCTGGCTCTCTGTTAAATAAATAAAATCTTTTTAAAAATTTTAAAAAAAAATATGTTTTGTCTTTATGGGTATGGCACTATGGGCAAGATGGAAAGTGCAGGATTTGTCTCAGCAGGGATGGGGTGGTAGGGTGGCCCTCATGTGTGAGCAGTGCCAACACTAGGCTAGGCTGTGGGACAAGTTCATCTTCAGTGTTCTACCAACCCCTCTCCTTTATGCAACTCCATTCTCCCAGATTTTATTTTTTTTTTTAAAGATTTTATTTATTTATTTGACAGAGAGAGAGATAGCGAGAGCAGGAACACAAGCAGGGGGAGTGGGAGATGGAGAAGCAGGCTTCCCGCCGAGCAGGGAGCCGGATGTGGGACTTGATCCCAGGACCCTGGGATCATGACCTGAGCCAAAGGCAAACGCTTAACGACTGAGCCACCCAGGCACCCTCTCCCAGCTTTTAGATTCAACAGAAGCCAGCTGCCAGCTGGGTTCACCAGGAGGCACACCCGGAGGTGGAGTTCTGGTATAAGATGTTTATTAAGGAATGCCCTTGGGACCCAATGCTTGTAGAACAGAAGGACTTTTGCAGGACTAGGTAAAATGAGAAGTCCAGCTATGATGCAGACCCACTAATAAGCCTTGGATGATGTCAGAGAGCTCTAGAACTAGGGTTTTCCCAAGTTAAGATGCGATGGCCAGGCCTTTATACAATTACATCACAGTCACTGGATGTGGATTGCCCTGAAAGGATGTGGTAAATGTGGGTAGGTAACTCTCAGCAAATGAGGCAATACTCAAAGAGATGAGTGAAGGTTGGGGCATCAAGTCCTTCACAGAACAGGGATCTGAGCAACACAGTGTCCACCAGAAGGCCCCTAGCTGGGAGTCTCCCTCTCTGTTATTTAACCTTTGGTATACTGAGCGGTAGCATTACCTCCCTTAATTTACAGATGAAGAAATAAAGACTAAGCAAGCTCACCTAGGCCCTCCAGCTGATCCTTGATGTTCTGGCAGGAATGTCAAGTCTACAGGGCCAGGCCCAAGAGGGGTAGGAGGTGTCCATGCTATTGGTTGGTAGAGGAGGAAACACACAGGAAGGTGACCACCCACTCATCACTTTTTCTATATCCCTCCCAGCTGGCCTACTAATTTTTCAAATTGTGTATTTTGCACTGCTTTCTTTAGCAGCTTTTTTTTTTTTTTTTTTTGAGAGAGAGAGAGAACACACACACATGCAGAAGTGGGGCAGAGGGGGAGAGAGAGAGAGAATCTTAAGCAGGCTCCATGCTCAGCGTGGAGCCCGACATGGGGCTCCTATCTCATGACCCTGAGATCATGACCTGAGCTGAAATCAAGAGTCAGGACACTTAACTTTGAAAAGCACTGTGGAAAAGGCAAAGTTTGGGCCAAAGAGCTTAAGAGAAAGCCATCCCTTCTTTTGTTCTCCTAAACCTCAAGCTCTGCTTCTGACTCTAGTCTGTTTCATATATCCCACCACAGGTCTTGAGCTCTGTACCTTTCCTAGCTCCCCTTCCAGGCAACAAAAAGCAACAGCCTGTGACCCAAGCCCTCCCATCTGTGTTCCATTAACCTGACACAGTAGATGTTGATGTGTCTATCTCTCTTCTAGGTATTGGTCATTTTTAAATAGAGGCTTCTCAAAGATAGCAAACTGACCCTGAAAACATTAACCCAAATGATGAGGTTAAGTGGCTGAGGTGAGAGAAGGAAAAACTGCGAGACAAGCAGGACCTTGTGGCATCCCACAGTTCTTTTAGCCAATCTTCTATTTAGGTTGCTTAAAAATGACTGGTGTTGGTGTGGGAATTTGTTATGTTATGGCTTAACCCCTGAGGTATTCAGGTAACATTCACCATGTGCCTGTCAATGTATTCAGGCCCAGCAATAAAGACCAAAATTCAACCCTGAGTTGCGTGATGGCACGGTACTTTCCAGTAAGTTTCAGGATGTCCTTCTCATTAGGGAAAACAATCCATTATTGGATTTCAGGGTTTAGGATCTCACCAGGCCCTGAGGATTTTTCTTTCAACTCCGATTCACATGATTTCATGTCACTCCCACAGCTGATCCAGACAGTGAGTGCAGTGGACCAAGATGACCCACACAGTGGTCAGCACTTCTACTACAGCTTGGCTCCGGACGCTGCTAACAACCCCAACTTCACCGTTAGGGACAACCAAGGTAATCAGGTGGAGAGGCGACTACCAGTGCTTTTCTATAGCTTGGGCCAGATACTTTTGGTTACTACACCATGCAAACGGTGTCAAAGGTCACCTGCTCTGTAGTAGCAGTGAAGACATTAATGCTTATTTGTAATGTCTTTAAAAGTTTTGTTTCAACAGATCAAAGACAAAGAATGTCCTCTGCTGATTCTGAAACTTTCAGTTAATCAGTTCACAAACGTTTTGGAGTTGGCTCTGTGGGAGACGGCATGCCAGGCACACAGGCAAAAGCCTTCCTTCACTCCCACAGATAACAGCCATGCCTGTATGCTCTGTAACTATCGGAAGAATCTGAGAAAAATGACAGAAATTGAACTAGATAAAGAGAAAAACCTGAGGGAACATTTCTGAGCAAGCATCAAAGGGGATAACAGTGAAAAGCTAGCAGAACAAAAGGGAGAGAAAGGCTACGATGACAAAGGACAAACACAGGATCACAAAGTGTAGCTTTGGCACTGAAACAACTTTATCACTTTAGAATGATTTTAAAAAGACAGAGCCAGGTGGGGTTCCCTATTCCAGAAAGCACTCCCCACTACCACTTTGCTGGAATGGAATTCTAGACCCCTCTTTTCCAATAAGCATTCTGATTGGCTAAGAAATGTATAGACCTAGCATACTCTTCACTGGGCAGAGATGGCAAAAGGAGGGACTTCTGTTCTCGCATCAAATAATTTTCAAAGAAAGATCAGAAAAAAATCATTTAAATCTGCTAAGTGAACCCCCCTCTGTTGCTAACTCTGCTACTTGCTGTCTGACCTTGGGGAGAGAGGTCATCACTTCTCTGGGCTCTACTAGCCTCATTCTTATTCCAATTCTAAAATACTAATTGTCACTGTGTAACAATCTAAACAAAGGGTAACAAAAAGTCATGATTAGGCCTGCCTGGTCTTAGTCTCAAACATCAATTATTTGAGACTTAAGGTATTAATTTCACCCCACATGATATCCTGCCATTAACACTTGAGACTATTAAACCTGTTCTCTTTTCAATGGAAAACATTCCTCCAAGTCTTTCCTTTAACCTTCTACATGTCATCATAAAATCACTCTGCTAATTCTAGAAGGGAGGGTAATATAAATCATAACAACAGAAGTACTACAATTAAACAACCCGATCTTTTTATTGGGTCAAATTTTGAACTATTCATTTATCTGCTTCACAGGGCAATCCTTCCTACAAAAAGTGGTTTCAGCCCCCCTCAGGACTGGTTTTACAGTGGAAACCAAGGGTGTGGGGGGTCGGGGGGATAATACATTATACTGTTTCTTCAAATTTTTAGTCAAGTGTCACTCTATTCCTTCACTCTGATATTTGTCAGAATCAACACAGAAACAATATGCAGCAAAATGCTGCAAATTTATTAAAGATGACTTTGGACACCAATTCATGGAGCCAATGCTTTAAAAAGATGGGCCACTGGAACATGATACTATAAAAAGAAACGACTCATTTCTGGGAAGGTTTTCCAAAACGAAAGTCAGCACATCTTCAATAGAAGAATGAACCCTTAATCTCCTCATGACAATTTATCCCATGAGTATTTTCTGTGGAGGCTCATTAAAAAACTGACCAACATCTGATTTGGTGGATCTACTATCAGGACCCCAACTCCCATGCCCAAAACATGATATCCTTTTATGAACACAACAAGGCACTATCTCAAGCAGAGTGTTTCTTTTTTTTTTTTTAATCCCCGAAGCATTATTAAAAGGATTGTGTGTATATAAGCATTTTGCAGTTTCAAACACATTTTCCCACACTTTGCTTTATTTGATATTTATAATAACCCTCTAGGGTTTTGAGGAAGTTACTAACCCCTCTGATTCTCACTGTCTCGCTTGATAGATAAGGAAAGAAAGCAAATGGCCCACAATCAGAAAGTGAGTAAGCATTAATGCTGGGACTAGAAGATGGAGCCTGTTTTAGCCACACACACACACACACACACACACATACACAAAAGAAAGAAGTTTTGTCTCATCTTGGAAACAAATGTTGTTTCCAAATGGGTTACTAAAGCCCTACTCATCACATTCAACAAAAACTCTGCAAGTGGCTATTCTGCAAGTGGCCAGAACCCTTCTAAGAAGAAATCAGCAAGGCAATGCTCTGATCTTTTCTCTTTTTCTTTAACCTTAAATAATTCTGAGATCAAAAAACATGATGTAATACTTTTATGCAATTCAGCTCTGGTCAAGCTTTCTAAAAGTCTTACAACCTGGCCTCAATTAAACTGAAAAATAAAAAATAACACAGATTTTTGTTTGAGAAAAACTTGGTTTCTGGAAAAGCAAAATTAACACTGTGGAACAGAATTAATAGTACTTAGCTACTAAATCTGGAAAAACAGGTGGGTCGTACAGTAGGTAGAAATATTAATATAATCCTCAGGTCGGCAACCTGTTGCTATCTTCCTCCACAGAGAAGCAAATACAAGAAGGGGCCCGTACCAAAGCAAGAGAGGATTTCCATTGGCTGGATAATTTTCAAGAGTTAATATCACTACACTAAATAAGCAGTTTACACAGCAAAATGGAAGAAATGTATACTTGGGAGTCAGAGACACCAGAGTTCAAATCTCAGCTCTGCTACTAAGTTAGTAACTTTGAACAAATTATATCATTTCTCTAGGGCTTAACTTACCCCCTGTAAAAGGGTCAGATTATCACTCTCTCATCAAATGTGAAAATTAAATGAGCTGCTGTGCACATAAGCACTCAGTAAACAATCATTGCTAATTGTGAAAAGGCAGGGCAAGGAGAAAGTGGAAAAGCAAATGAAGGAATAACATATTCATCAGAACAGGCTAGCCGATGCTGCGGGACAAATGACTCCAAAATTCCAGTGGCTTAACACAACTAAAATAAGTTTCTTTGCTCACATAAAACCAACCGCAGGTCTGAGCAACAAGGACAGCTGGTGTCCGTCCATGTAGCTCAGTGTCCCAGGCTGCCTGGTTCTCCTTCTTAAACGTTCTTGTACAGTATCACACCAAGGCAAGAGAACACAGAGAAACACATACCAGCTGTTACATGCTTCTGCCTGGAAGTGACACAAATCGCTTTTGCTCATTTTTCATGATGAAAAGCAAATCATACGGACACGCCAAAATTCAAGAGGGTAGAAAAGTATAATCCTTTATTATGTCCAAGAAGGGAAAGAGAACCAGAAATACTGATAATTAATAATGTTTACTTTGGTTAGGCTCTCAGAAGTTTTTGTGAAGTTCTAGACTCTTCCTTGTGAAATGTAAACCACATCCAGAGGACCTTCCATGTTGATGTTAGCTCTGAGAGTCACTGCTTGCATGTCCTATCACATCTCCCAACCTTTTCCTCTACTGAAAATGATCTGAACTGTGCAAAAAATATGACTTATTATTCAAACCCACTGGAAGACACCTGAAAACACAAATTAAAAAAATAAAAGATCCCAGAACATTACATTAGGCAAATACAAATATAAATACACACACACACACACACACCCCACCTTTGTGGAAACACATCAAATAATTTTGCTACTCCCTTTAAAGCTGGAGGGAAAAAAAAAAAACCCAAAAAACTAGTATTGCTGATCAGGAATGAATTTCTCCAAGTTCTTACTGTGTCATCTCAGACCACAAGTAGGGGGAAATAACAGGGTGTATCACGTGATTAGGGGATTTCAAATAAGCTTCTGCTAAATGAGCAGGTCCTTCAGAAAGCACAGGAGTTGGTGACTGCGTTTGAGAGGAATAAAAGAAAACAGCAAAAGCCGTGAATTCCAGCCAAAGTGGCAAAAATAAGCAATCTGCCACAGCCAAGTGGGCTCCTCAGCATTCTTTTCCTGGAGGCACAAAGCAGCCCCAGGGCCTTGGAAAGCTGATGAGCAGGGAACAAACAGGGACCACAAGTGGCCAGTGATTGCTCATTCCTATCAAGCTTTCACAGGAACATTTCAGTTAGATCTGAAGTCTAACAGTTCGCCCTGGGCACTTTATGTCACAAAGGGTAAAACAGACTCTCATAAAGGGTTTCTCTCCTAGGCCTCAGGGTTTTGCCTAGAAGCGAGCAAAAATCAAAAATCCATGGTTTCTGAATTCAAATGCTGATCCAGACAGAGCAGAGGCGGCTGGCTGTAGCTGACCGCCTCCGGGGAACGTTTGACGGTCCCTCTCCGTCCTTCCCACCTCTCATCCCTGCCCTCTTGCTCTCCTCAGCCCAAGAAATTAATTCACTTGTGGGTTCTTCCATTTTCTTCTTCCCTCCCACTTTTCCTCTCCCTTTTTTCAACCCTGGAATCCCTGTCTTCTTCAGATAACACTGCCCGGATTCTCACCAGGAGGTCTGGCTTCCGGCAGCAGGAGCAGAGCGTCTTTTACCTGCCCATCCTGATAGCAGACAGCGGGCAGCCGGCGCTGAGCAGCACGGGCACGCTGACCATCCAGGTGTGCAGCTGTGACGACTTCGGCCACGTCCTGTCCTGCAGCCCCGAGGCCTACATGCTCCCCGTCAGTTTGAGCCGGGGCGCTCTCATCGCCATCCTGGCCTGCATCTTTGTCCTCTTAGGTGAGCAGGTGCCTCCCTTCTCTTCTGTGGGGCCCCGCAAGTGCTTACATAGCTACCATTCTAACACGGCTGCTCAGAACCGGTTTTCTACACCATGCTTATGGAAAAGGTGGCAGAGTAAGGCGGGGAAAGAACACAGAAACTGACGATAGTCCCTTCCTTCAAGGAACTCATGGCCTCTTTGGCCAGACCAAAGCAAATATATTTATCAAGCATCTATTACGGGCCGGGGTACCATTCGAGGTGCTGGGATTAATAAGACAGACACGTCCCAGCCTTCACGAAGCTTACTTCAAGCAAAGCAAGTTCATTTTGACACCACAGAATCAACATGACAATTTGGGGCAGGATATGATAAACACCTCTTCTAACCCCTTCATTTCAGATAAGTAGTAGCTAAATCACAAAGACAGAGTGACAGGCCCAAAGCCAAGTGTCAGAGGCAGAGCCAGAAGTGAAATGCAGGCAGAGCCTACACTGTGCATCCCTGTATCTGAGTGGTAAGGCTCTTCTCCTAAATGTTCATCCCCCAAATTCTGGAGGTGGTAGGTGTTACAGAGACGAGAAGAAGGACAGGGTATCCCGAAGGGACAGGAGACAAGGGTAGGTGCCATTTTAAACAAGGTGGTCAGGGAAGGCCTCCCTGATAAGGAGACCTTTGAGCAGAGACCTGAAAGAAGTGACAGAGTGAACCCCGTGGCTATCTGGGGGAATAAGCTATTTGGGGGCATTAGCACCCCTCCGAGGTCCTGTGGCCATCTAACAAGGAGCAGTGACTACACAGGGCTGGTGTCCTACTGCTGGTGACATAAAAAGATGTGCTGACAGGCTGGTGGGAGAGCATTAGTGAGGGAAAGGATCCTTTAGTCCTCTGCTCAAATCATACAGCAAGGCAGCCACCCACCTCCCTTGTACATAAGGCTATTGGAGCAATCGTTTTTGAACTCAACACTCAAAAACAATGAAACACCTAAACTAACTCTGGAAACCACCAAAAATATCTGTACACATATCCCAACTCTTCTGATTGAATTCATTCACTGCACACATATTTTGCTTAGAAAAAAGCAGACTTAAGATAGTGATATCATTCAATATGGAAGAAGTCCTAGCATTCTATGAAGGAAAAGAATACAGCCCTGGGGATTTAAATTAGAATAGACATGCAGATATCCACAGAACCCCTTGATCCCAGGTTTACCTATGCACCAGGAGACTGAGTCAGACCAAAGAAAGAAAGGTCCCGACTGTAAAATGTCAGCACTTGATTGAATTTCTAGGTAGGTCTGTAAAATATGCCTTTCAAAAAATATTTACAAATATCACATGTGGTTTGATTTTGTTGTTTTAGTTCAATGCTATATGAAGAGAGAAGTAATATAAATAAGTAACTTTTCTAAATCCTCAGATCCCTGGATCAGAGAATTGTTATGCTTTCTGGTCCCTGTCTACATTAACAAGTAACACCCTCTGCAATTCCCTGAATGTCCATAAGATGGCGTCGGGAGTCCTTGAGTGCAAAACCGGATAAACGACAAGCAGCCTCTAACGAAACTAGCTCCTTGAAGAAATTTCCAGCCTGGCTGTTCCTACTTCTATCTTTGGAAAATGTCTACATTATAAGTTCACCCTTGCCCACAAAGAGAAAAAAAAGCCATCATTACAGAAAGATTGATTTTAAAAGACTGGCACAGAGAGGCTCTCAAGCTAGAAATGGTGTGCAAGGGGCAATTTATATTGTGCCTCCCAAACCCATTATGTCTTATCTTTTGAATTGCACAGAATAAATAGACAATTTTCAGGAGCTAAACCGAGCAGAGCTTTATATGCAACTTTATATAAAATCCTCATAGTTTTAGGCTCTCTTATTTCTAAGAATGCACATCCCAAATAAAATATAATTCATAAAACTGCATAAGATTGAATTATAGCTGATTCGCCAACAAAATACTACATTTTGTGGACAATTAAATAAACATACTAATTTTGACTTTATAGGGTTTTTTTTTTTTTTCATGTCTTTAGTATATATCTAGTTCCTAGAAAATCTCATAGGCCCTATGAACTGTGCCCGTAATACCTAAAGAACAAACACCCCTAAAACGGATTCTTTTCTGTCAGGGAAGACTTTCAGTTGAACAGGACCATGTTTCCCAGAATCTGATTTTCGGGGCATTACCCAATACTTGTTATTTAAATCAGATTATCTAAAAAACAAGATATATGTAAGGTATTTGTAAGATAAATGTTAAGATGGACCAGTTCTATAAACTGCCTAATTCTATCATCAGAATTCTTCCCAGCAGATATCCAAAGACTTTTCTAATTTTGCTTCATAGCATTTTCTTAAATACCACCCCTACCATTCTAATATCATCTGTGTGAAGGTTTTTCATTCTCCCCTAGGAAGAATTACCCAGCCCTGCCTCTGTATTCTCTTTGCAACACTTATAACCCTAGGATAGCCCTTATCACTGCCTGACTTGTATTAATCATCAGTCTATAATCTCCTTAGATTACAAGTTTATAAGACCAAAAATCATGTCATATTCAATATTCTCTCCTGTTTTGCATAGTGCCTAAAAATATTTGAGTTTAGTAACTGTTTATTGAACCCCACAAACACAGCATGTTCACTTAAAATCCCATTTGTCCAGCCTGCATCACACCCCAGCCTCCCACACCCAGTTTAAGCCCCCAACTTCCTTAGAGCCCTGTTAGTCCACTTCTCTGAAATCCCACAATCAGGCAGTTCATGGGTCGTATTTTGGCACACAGAGAAAATATACGAGAGTATACAACTGCTTCCTGTGTGTGCGTTTTGTCACCCTAGCTATTTGGGAAAAATACTAGGTATTAACATCATTAACTGCAATTTACAAAAAGCACATTCTACGTTCAAATTTTTTAAATCATTACTGTGAATTTTTTAAGTCCGTTCATAATTTTACTAGGCGTAAGACTGAACTCCATTTTTCTCCCCTTGGTAAACTGCAGTTTCATTTCGTAGTTGTGTCAAGTTGTTACTGTTCACTAGGTGTAACAAAGCACATCAAAGAAAAAAAATCAATAGCAGTTCTACAGCTAAAACCTCAACACACTTCCTGGAAAACATTTTCAGTCACAGAGATAAACAGTTCAACGGGATTATCTCTACCTCTCCTTTAAACCCCAGTGAACACATCCTGGGGAAAAAATAAATTTGTTGGGATAAAATTTTATCCAAGCCTGCAAGGGCACATCTAACAGTGTGGTGCTTCTTTGATAACATGGTGAATTACATAAAATGTCCCTGCTCATTCCCTCCCTTCCATGAACATCACTGGATCCAGAGAGTCACAACCACCCCTCTAACAGAAGGCTTTCTGAGGAATCGGAGTTTATTGGAAAACGGCGATCACTTATACTCTCTTATTTTTTGAAAGAGGTATAGAAAGACTAAGACTCTGATTCATACTTAGCCTGTATGTCTCTATGCGTATGTATTAATATGTGGTTGTATTTACAGAGTCGAATCCTACTAAGATACTAATGTAAAAAAAGTAGGATTCCACCTACGTAACAAGATTTCCACATAATCAGAAATGTATACTCGTCCTTATATGGTCAGGAGACATTGTCTGATGCTCAGCATAGACTCCATGGCAGGCCGCAGTGCTCTGCGCTTAGTTAAATGGGATTTGATTTGGGGGGGTCTGGGTGGGTGTACACATACACCCACGCAATTTTAAAGCAGCAAGCTGATGCAAAGAGACCTTATATGCAGCTTCTTCTAACTGAACCACCTGGAAAAAATACAGGGCTTCATTTGCCTACAAACTCTCAATCTGACCGCGCAGAATGAGTAAGAACGAGGTGGACCCTGTGGTTTAAAATATCCAAATGCTGGGCGCCTGGGTGGCTCAGTCGGTTAAGCGACTGCCTTCGGCTCAGGTCACGATCCTGGAGTCCCGGGATCGAGTCCCGCATCGGGCTCCCCGCTCGGCAGGGAGCCTGCTTCTCCCTCTGACCCTCCCCCGTCTCATGCTCTCTCTCTCTATCTCATTCTCTCTCTCAAGTAAATAAATAAAATATTTAAAAAAAAAAGATAAGGGGCGCCTGGGTGGCTCAGTCGGTTAAGCGACTGCCTTCGGCTCAGGTCGTGATCCTGGAGTCCCGGGATCGAGTCCCGCATCGGGCTCCCCGCTCGGCAGGGAGCCTGCTTCTCCCTCTGACCCTCCCCCGTCTCATGCTCTCTCTCTCTATCTCATTCTCTCTCTCAAGTAAATAAATAAAATATTTAAAAAAAAAAGATAAGGGGCGCCTGGGTGGCTCAGTCGGTTAAGCGACTGCCTTCGGCTCAGGTCGTGATCCTGGAGTCCCGGGATCGAGTCCCGCATCGGGCTCCCTGCTCGGCGGGGAGTCTGCTTCTTCCTCTGACCCTCCCCCGTCTCATGCTCTCTCTCTCTGTCTCATTCTCTCTCTCAAATAAATAAATAAAATCTTAAAAAAAATAAAATAAAATACCCAAATGCTGTCTCTGAGCTCAGCACTCAAAGAACTCTTCCCATACCTGGTTAATCACCGCTCCTTCAAGTCAGGGCACACACAGCCAGGTCTCCCGGGTAAAGAGCCTGTCCTCTCTGTTTCCCGCAGTGCTAGTGCTGCTCATTCTGTCCATGAGGCGGCACCGGAAACAGCCGTACATCATCGACGACGAGGAGAACATCCACGAGAACATCGTCCGCTACGATGACGAGGGCGGCGGAGAGGAGGACACCGAGGCCTTTGACATCGCGGCCATGTGGAACCCCCGGGAGGCGCAGGGGGGAGGCGCCCCCAAGACGCGGCAGGACATGCTGCCCGAGATCGAGAGCCTCTCCCGCTACGTGCCTCAGACGTGCGCCGTGAACAGCACGGTCCACAGCTACGTGCTGGCCAAGCTCTACGAGGCCGACATGGACGTGTGGGCCCCGCCCTTCGACTCCCTCCAGACGTACATGTTCGAGGGGGACGGCTCCGTGGCCGGGTCGCTGAGCTCCCTGCAGTCGGCCACGTCGGACTCGGAGCAGAGCTTCGACTTCTTGACGGACTGGGGGCCCCGCTTCCGGAAGCTGGCGGAGCTCTACGGGGCGTCGGAGGGGCCGGCGCCCCTGTGGTGACGGAAGCCTGGAGGCAGGCGCGCGTCCAAACGCAGACGTTCTCGGCGGACGCTCGCCAGGCTCGCGGTCGGTGCGGCCAACCGCATGAGCACTACTGTGCTGGAGAGCGAGAAGGGGGTGAGCGGCGAGGAGAGCTCTCTCTGGATCAGCTTTACTTGGTTCCATTAAGTTCGGTAATCGAAAGGAAACGCAGGAAGAGGGGGGCAGACACTCCAATCACCTTTCTTTCCTTTTGTCTTTTTTAATTTCTGTGACTCTGCATTCAAGGGCTTGGAGTCCAAGGTGAAGTTACGGCGAGCTTGGCTTTTCTCTCCCATTCGTCAAGGCCTTTGTCACTTTGTCACTTGGCCACCCCTGAAGAGTTTCTGGCCTTACACACACGGGTGGCAACTGAAGGGAAGTTTGACTCTCGCATCCTTTTTCTTTTTACCTCCCTTTTTTTTTTTTCTCCATTTAAGTGTTTTGCTGGCTCATCAAACCGCACAACCAACCCACACAAAAGAACACTGAAAAATTGTTACTCTGTGAAATTAACCTACTTGTCCTGGGATGGATGGAATTTCTTTTAACCCTTTTGAGACAAGGTTAAGGCGAATCGGCCTTGCATGACTGGGGGGTGGGGGTGGGAGAAGGAAGAGGCATTGACTTTGTGCTCAAGTTTAATGGCTGAACCAAGAGTTGTTGGCATTACAACGAATCCAACTCCATCAAGTTAGAGTGCTCTGTTCTCTTGGCTCTTTAACTGTGCCCCTGCAAAATTGTTCAGAACGAAACCAGAAAATCTGCCTCTTTTGCACTGTAGATGTCTCTTCCATGTGCCAAATGTGAAGATTAGATGCTACAAACGAAAGCCAAATAAAAAGAAGTATCTGATAAAAGCATGGGTTAGAGGGCTTTCCTAATCTGTGTGAGGTCAATCCAAGGGATGTTTACATACTGTAGATAACCTACTTGAACAAAAATCGGTATTATAGAGAATAAATGGATGTAAGAAAATTACATGTATAAGTTTTGTATATTTGTTAATAATTTTGGTAATAAATATGATGTACTGCATCTCAGTACCCTAGCACTTCTTTTAATAAAAGTTAAATAGAAGGGAAAGTCTATTGCACATTTGTTTAATTGCGGAGCACAAAGATGGCCTTGTGATCTTGACCTAGCCTCAGGTTCCTGGGGCTGGAGCTGATTCATAAGGCAAAGGCGGCTGCAGAGAAGTATGACGCTGTGCATTCTTTTCCAGTCGCTGAACACACGAATGTTGTGGTTCCAGCTGTTAAGCTTTTCATGAACCGTCTTCATCCCCCCATCTCTGAAAAGAGTAAAGGATGGTTTGATGATATCAATGATATAATGGTGAATTGTGCCATATTTTTCATTTTGTGAGAGGGTTTTCCACATAGCCACCAAAAGACAGGCCACTATGCTACTTTTATCTCTATTGGCAAATCAAATATGTACAAACATGTGTACAAATATATACGAAATCTGTACAGCTCACCGACACTGGGCGAGTTCACAGAAGGCTGGGACCATATTTTATTCATCTTTCCTTGCCCCATAATTGATTGTGAACAAGATAGTTTTCTGTGGGTCTTGTTTATAAAAATGGTTCTCAAATGTTGATGGGTGTCAGAATCTCCTAGAACACTTGTTAAACAATAGCTTGTTGGGCGCTACCACCCTGGAGTTTCCAGTTCATTTGATCTGGGGCATTTTGCATTTCTAACAAGTTTCTAGGTGGTGATAATGCCACTGGTCCAGGAATCAGACTTTGAGAACCTCTGTTGTATGGGCCACTCTCTCTCAAACACAGGAAGATTAGATTATCAGCCCGCTCGCACTGGAGCCCGTCCCATCCGTAGAATCTATGATTTTTTTCCCCCAGTATAAAGGACAGTTTGGCAGAAGTGTGTGAGAAGGCTGAAGAGGGTCCAGGAGCCAGATGGTCTATTACATGGTACACTAACAGCCAAGCAAATTCTTATCATCAAACTTCAGTAGACTAACCCTTTCTTCCCATGAAAGGCAGCTCTCACACATCTGCTATGAGGGTAAGGTGTGATATAAAAATAAATAAACTTAGCAAAGAAAGAAAGCAAGCATGAACTTGAGTCCAAACCAGCCTCTACAACATACCAGTTATTTGAATGTGAGCAAATTAACCCCTATAACATTTTTCCTTTCTGTCACTAGCCCTGAGGATAATTTTGTGACTATTTCACTTTGTATTGCATGTGTTAAGGACTGGGAACAGCTGTTATCCTAACCACAGGAGGTTATCATGCCCCACATCCTGCAAATGTGGTACCCATGATACTGGGCTTGCAGTGATTAAACAATCTCCTGGAGCTTCTGGTCCCTGGGAGGATGTTTAATGGTGTGATACAGGAAGTGTGAGAGAAGCACAGAATAAGAGATCCATTTCAGCTCACACTCTAAGCTGAAAGAGACTCTTCCTCCAAATGAGTTTTAAAATTTCCTTTCCACTGCCACAGTTTACCAGAGATGCTGGTCCCTCTGAAAAGAAAACATTATCACCACCAGATGGAAGGCAGAATGTGATCAGGTTAGGCAAGAGAGCTGTAAAATTATTCAGCCATTGCTTTGTTAACAGGTAAAGGAGCTAGTGTATAACTTACATGTTGGGGGGAAACAGGAGCATCGGTAGGAATCAGTAAGACAGCCTGAAACCATTCTGGAACAAGAACACAAGCAAATAAAAATGATCAATGAATTTTCTGAAACAAACAGACTATCCCAACATGGCAGATGGCAAAGACAAAGATGGAATGGTTCACACACAAAAAAGTCTATAAATCCTGGAATCAAAATTCAGACAAGCCAAAATCAGTGCAGGCACATTGATTACAGCTTGTTACTAGTTCACTAGTGATGCAGAACTGGACCTTGATGTCAGAACTCATAATATATTCTTCATAGTGGTAGGACTACATTAACATGGGATACACTCTACGAGCCTGGATTTAGGAAGCTTTTGTTTAATTCTAAGGGTCAAAGTTCTGATATTGGGAGTGGACAAAATTACATCAAGGAATCTTCTTTTTAAAATGATCTACTAATGACACATACCTGTCTCTTGTGATTCGTGTTTTGCAAAAACCGTGAGTACTAACTTACAGTATGTGCAATTAACTATAACATTAATGGGATGCCTGGGTGGCTCCGTCAGTTAATCGTCTGCCTTCAGCTCAGGTCATGATCCCAGGGTCCTGGGATCGAGCCCCGCATCGGGCTCCTTGCTCAGCGGGGAGCCTACCTCTCCCTCTGCCTGCCGCTCCCCCTGCTTGTGCTAGCTCTTTCTCTCTCTCTCTGACAAATATAAATAAATTAATTAATTAATTAATCAATTAATTAATTAATTAAATTAAGAAAAATAAACGATAACATTAGCCCCAAACAAAATTTTTCTAAAATCTTTATTCCTGAGACAGGAAGCTTGCAAATCCTACCCCATGTGTTTGGCTACACTTTTGGTTTTGAAAGGATTGTCAGAGGGCTGATGATGAGGGTGTTTCTTCCACCCCAGTACTTTTGCTACTGCGGCTGCCTTTCTGGTACAAATGATGACAAGGGTTACTTCCCATCCCAGAAAGCCTTGGGACACTTCTTGGGAGTATCGACTCTCAAAAGCCATTAAAACTACCTATGAATCTCTTCTAATTTTTCAGAAAGGCTGAATCCTAGCTTCTCTTTTATTATTTCCATGTCTTCCCCTTCCTCCCGAATCCCTGTTTTGTGACTATTGGTGCATAAAAAGACCCTCCAAACTAAGTGGTGTAAAAAGACAATGACTTTATCATGCTCACAGACTCTGCAGGTGGAAATTCAGGAAGGATCCACCAAGGACAACTCCTCTCTGCTCCACAATGTCAGGACTTTAGCTGGGGTGACCAAAGGCTGGAGGTGACTCATCAACCTCCTCCATATGTCTGGGGGTTGGTGCTGGCTATCCAGACCTGACCGGGCTGCCAACAAGACCTCCTCATGGCTCCTTGGGCTTTCCCACATCACAGTGCTGAATTCCAGGAGTGAACGTCCCAAGAAAAGGCAGAAACTGAATCATCTTTTATGACCAGAAGTCACATAACGTTACTTCCACAGTAGTGACAAGACTCCCCATGTTGAAAATGAGGAAACATGAACTCCACCTCTCAACGGGAAGAATGTCAGGGCTACATTGCAAGAAGAAATAATATGCCCACTGTTGGAAAGAGTGATCAGCCACGTTGTCCTTCCCCTTTTTCCGCCTGCCTCCTCCCTGAATCCCAGGAATCATTTTTGGTTCTAGTCACTATTCCCTTTCTCTCTTCTACTCCTCTTCTTCTCTATAGACTACATTTTTGTTCTATGGTTATATTATTCTTCTTTGAAATTAAGTCGTATCCCTACCACACAGTACTCTAAGAAGTAAGTGAACATTCCATGAAAACAGCTAGCAAAATATCCAACATATAACAAGCATATATTTTTATTGAGGTATAATTAACATACAATAAAAATATTTAAGGTATATAATTTAATAAGTGTTGACATACATATATACCCATGAAGCCATGACTACAATCAAGATAGTGAGTATATCTGTCACCCCCAAAGGTTTTCTCACACCCTTTCATAATACATCCTTCCTGCACCTGCCTCTCCCCTGCAACTCCAATCAACCACTGTTGTGCTTTCTATGGATTAGTTTGCATTTTCTAGGGTTTTATATAAATGAAATCATACAGTGTGTACTTTTTTGTGTGGGCGTGGGGGAGATCTGGATTCTTTCACTCAGCATTTTTTGAGATTCATCCAGGTCACTGTGTGTATCAGGTAGTCCATTGCTTTTTGTTGCTGAGCAGTATTCTATTTATAGATACACTACAACCTGTTTTTTTTGTTCATCTATCAGTCTCCTTGGGCTGCCATAAATACCATAAAGTGGGTGGCTTAAACGACAGAAATTAATTTTCTCACAGTTCTGGAAGCTGGAAGTACGAGATCAGGGTGCCAGCATGGTTAGGTTCTGATGGAGGACCCTCTTTCTAGTTTGCTGATGACTGCTTTCTCACTGTGTCCTCACATGGTGGAGAGAGCAAGTGAGCTCTCCAGCCTCTCTTCTCATAGACACTAACCCTATCAGATTAGTGCCCCACCCTTATGACCTCATTTAACCTTAATGACCTCTTTACTCCAAATACAGTCACATTAAGCATGAGGGCTTTCAACATACAAATTTGGGGGAGACACAATTCAAGCCATAGCAAGTCACGTGTTGATGCACATTTGCATTGTTTGCAGCTTTGGGCCATTACAAGTTAAGCTGTGTGAATATTTGCTTACGAGTCTTTGTACAGATAAATATTTTTTCTTCTCATAGATAAATACATAGAAATGGAATGGCTGGAATCATGAGGGTATACGTTTTGTGATGTTTAACTGCCAAACTGTTTTCCAGTCTTTTTATCATTTTACATTCCCAAGAGCAGTATATGAGAGTTCCTATTTCCTCCACATGCTCACCGCCCCTTGGCATGGTCAGTTTTTGTCATTTTAGTCATTACAATAGGAGTATTATAGTATCTCACTGTGGTTCTAGTTTCTGATACCCTAGTGACTCATAATGTTGAACATCTTTTCGTGCACTTTTTCACTATCCATATATCCTCTTTAGTGGAGTATCCAGATGTACTTGCTCATTTTTGATTGAGTTGTTTGTTCCATTATTGTTGAGTTTTGAGATTTCCTTATATTTGCTAGATGTAAGTCCTTTACCAGGTACATGCTTTGCAAAGATTTTCTCCCAGTCTGTGGCTTTTCATTCTCTTAACAATGTCTTTTGAAGGGCAGGAGTTTTTGATTTTAATAAAACTCAATTCATCAATTTATTCTCTTATAGATTGTGCTTGGGTGTCATCTCTAAGAAATCTTGGCCTACCCAAGGTCAGAAAGATTTTCTTCCATGTTTTATTTTAGAGTTTTATGGTTTTAGG